CCAGCTCCTGCAGAGGCTGATCTGTTTGTATTGTGCTGTCATGTGCTGTCGCTGACGTCCTTTGCAAATGGACACGGCAAACCTCAGCCCCGCCCCACACACTGTAGGCCTGTTTCGCTCTCCAGCTCAGGCTCAAGACGATGGAAACCACCCTGCCAAAGAAGCAGGCGTGTTGAAAATGCGGCCCTTCCCGCATCGACGAGATCGCCGTGACACTGGAAAAGAAGATGCAATTCACACAGTTCACATAGCCATCTAATGACTCGAGGCTTCCAAGGTTACAGGGCAAGATGGAATAGATCGATGTAAATTGGCAGAACCATAGACCGAGAATGGATGTAAAGAGGCTGCCCGAGGGGCTCAATTTCTTATATGTTTTAAGTTGCCAAGCCATGTCAGTTCCGTGTGAACACAGCAAGCTCCAATTTCTGGTAGTCTGTTCGGTCCTTGCCTGGCTGCGGGAAGGGGAGCGACCGCTGCGAAACACGCTCCTGCGTTTGGGTAGTTTACTCGGTCCTTGCCTGGTTGTGGGAAGGGGGAGCGACCGCGGCGATGCGAAATGGAAGTTGCAATTCTTCCCCAAAAAATGTTGGGGGTTGGGTTCTTGTCTGGCTTTTCCTTCTCGCGGGGGAGCGTTCACAAGAAAACGTTGCCGTGGATCGGAATACTTGTAGCGAAGAGGACGCGTCCACGCGGAGGACACGACCGTGGTGGTCGTGGATGGGGACAATTGGGGAGCTGGGTGCCAAGCGTCCGCGGGAGGACGCGCCGGTGGTGCGGAGGTCTGGGTGGGTGCAAGCTCCGGGCGATCTTGAATGGGGACGGTGGGGAGCTCTGGGTGCTGAGCGTTCGCGGGAGGACGGGTGGTGCATCGGAAGGACGCGGTAGTGGATGGTGACGGTGGTAGCTCTGGGTCTTGAACGTTTACGGGAAGATACGGTTGAAGACGGGGATAGGTGGGGACGTGGACGGGGAGGGAAGAAGAATTCTAAATAGCGAATATTCAATAAGAATGGATTATTTATTCTGGCTAAATATTAATTAGAAGAAAGATATAGGAAATCTCTACCGATAGGGATCGGGAGGGGAGCTCTGGGCACCGAATATATAATGGAGGAGACGGGGAAAGATAAATGGTTGGGGAGGTCTGGGCTCTGAGAAAATATTATTAGGGACGGGTGGGCAAAATGAATATTGAGAGAATTCTATATTTCGAGCTTACGGAGTAAGATATTTTTTCGAATAGGGACGGGAAAGGTATGATTATGGATAGGAACGGTTGAGAATTCTGGCCATCATATTTATAAGAGGTTGATGAAGAAGAACTCTGGATTTCGAATATTTATGGAAAGCTACGATTGAAGATAAAGATGGATATGAGTTCTAAATACTGAATATTCGTAGAGGATGCGGCACATGGACGTAGGTCGTAGAGAAGGTATCGATTAGAAATTTGAAATCCTTTATTTGGATCTTTTTCTTCATACCTAAAGCACGATTTGATTTCGAGGTCTCGCCTTGAATAAATAATTCTATTTATTTATTATATCTCTATTTGGCTATCATTATTTTGATGAATATCGAAACTATTATTTATTTTAAATTTTTTTATTCTGGAAACTATATTCGATATAGATCGAAATAGATATGATATTCATATTATCTCGCGATATTCTCTTTATAGATTAAGAATTTAGGGATATTTCAAATTCGTTTTCTCAGAAAATTTTCGTATTATCATCGTCTCGCTATTTTTATTTTTCATAAATTTCTGATCATATCGTGATACTCTTTAGGATATTTCTTCATGACCAAGAAAAATCTGGCGACTTCACCTAGCCGGTTAAGATTTTCTTTTCGGCGTGTTTCAAATCTTCTTCATAAAATTCTATTTCGTCGTATTTCTCACGAAATCGCTTTCGCGGAATCTCTCGTCGTCGCCCCAATTTTTTATTTTCGAAATCATTTAGATTAATCCAAATGGTATCTAATATCATACGATATTGACTACGATATATCTTTATTCGTCACGACCAGAATATTGAATAAGAACTCGTTAGAAATAAAAATAAAACCATTTTTATGATTTCGTATCTAGGATCCTAAACCTTATTTAAAATCCTCAATTACTAATCTCTTAAAAACCCCCCTAGCATATCCTACGTATCTAATATTTCGGAAGATTTAAATTTTCTTCATTAAATCAGAAATAATTCCAGAATTTATCGCTACCGATTAATAAAAAAACTAAGGAAAAGAGACTAATAGACAAAAACCAAGAATGCCCCAATAATTTAAAAATAATATAATTTAAAAAATCAAGAATTCCAATTCTTCGATCATTATCTCCCTGCCCGAAGAGACCCGAAAAATTCAAATCCTATACTATTCAATTCGGGCCCAAATACCTATAACCTCGCAGAGAACTCAAGATTTCTTATATAAATCGACGCAAAATATTCCACAAGACGTAAAAAATCTAAACTAATATAATTTAGAATATCGAATTCGTCTCCCAAATAATTTTGCAGAGCTTCGAATATTATCTTGCCAGCAAGGATGAAACATATAGATATTAAATATCTCGGAATCTTGCATCGTATTCTTTATTTCGAATCCCAATAAAATCTTTTATTTTATTTATCATCGAATTCAATTCGAGAAATCAAAATCGAATTCAAAATTAAATCAACTTCCCACCGTCCCGCCACCCCGCTTTCCCGCAAATTGCGGGAAAGCGGGCACGCCGCCCCCCGTATCGCAAGCGGACACGATATGAAATATTCGCCCCACCCCTAAAACTCGATTTTAAAAAGAGAACCCTTCAACTACGAATTCGGGAAAGATATTGGTGATTTTCGAGAAATCAGAATTTCGTTTATCCATAAGAAAATATACAAATACTATCGTCTTATAAGATCGGAATACTACGATAATATCATCCTATAACAGCCCTTCGAAATAGATTCTTTACACATATTCATATATATATATATACACATATCATAGCCTAAGTTCAGGAAGATTCATCGATTTATTTCTCCTATTCGGACTAGTTGATATTTTGGGATTCAATAATCGCTCATACCATACGAAGGGTTTATTCAACTCTAGTTGGTAAAATATAATCATAGAGAGCGGTCGACTGTGGAGCCTGGGTTTGGTTTCAGTGCTTTTTATCGGGTTTCAACGTTAATGGCTCCAAAGCAGGAGTTTGTGTTTTGTGTCGCGTAAAGCACATACCACAAAGCAAGCATCACAAGTGTTTTTCGGAACAGCTTATTCGAGTTGTGCAAAATCGCTCTCCAACAGGCTCCACACCAGTGTGTAGGTCGAGCCTCTTAATCTGGGTTCTTGTGTAGCAGATCTTACAAGCAGATAACGCTATAAATATCGATGAATTCAAGACTCTCTAAAGAACGTCTTAAGGTAGGCTACATAAGCTCGACAGTTTCTCTATGCAGCTCTGATAATCGGGCCTTTAAGATTCTGGACTGTCTACCCAAAGCAAGCTGAGCCAACACCGCTGTTGGTAACAGTGTTTGAAACACCAATATAGAGATTCAGCCGAATTAGCTGTCGAATTGCATTGGCATAGGGTTAATAGCAATGTGGATGCACATAAGGGCCCTTTGTTTTGGCGCGGTGAAGCAAAGTAAAGATATGAGCGGGTTCAGCCTATGTACCTGTATAAAGGACTACCAAAGACAAACTGTAATCGATGAAGATCTGGCTGCTGTCCTAGACTGGAATCCTACTTGTGTTGATGCTTATCCGATTCTGGCTTCTTCCGATACCCTTGTTCATAAGGTACCCCGTACCCCTTCGAAATAGCCAGTATTTGGATATAAATCATTTGGATTAGTGAAAAATGCTGCACTGGATACCGTGTCGGTTCCAAGCCATAACGGATCGTCCTCCTATAGTTCCTCAAACCGGTTTGGTCCAGGCCGTAGCACGCTCTCCATCCCTACACATAGCCTTACAAGAGATTTTGTATAGTTGAAATACTAAACACGAACATCTCGTGGTTTCACTCGATGAGCCTGGACGTATCAGCCGCACCCCAGGATCGACCCTTCTGTAATCATAATACATAATAATCTTCATGCCGCTCACAGTTTGGTTCTCTATGGTTATATGACTATATATAAAATCACATTTCTAATTTTGACCCAGTTATGTCTGTCTGGGTTCGACTCCGAGGCTTTTTTGGAATCAGTCATTCTTCCAACTTGCGCGTAACTATGTGGATGTAGACCTGGCGCTTCCAGGATGTTCAGCGTGTCCGGCATGCTGCAGGCAACGGACAAACTTCAACCTCCTGCGTGACACCACGTTGCCTCTTCTAGTCCACATGGATCGAAATCCTTCTCTTCGTCCAGTTGCTGAACCTGCATCGACACAGGGCGCGATGAGCAAGCAACCCCATCGTCCAGCTGAGTCGCATCAACGTCTGCTTGCCTCGAAGAGTCCACTGTCATGGACGATGGCAAAGAAATTCCACGAAAATGGCCGGTTGATGAAGACCTGTCCCATGTTTAGCTTAGCTTTCCATTCAGGACACCACAGTAAACGTTCTGCTGGATGCTGAGATCATAGCTGAATAGATCAGGGTCTCGGGGCTGCAGAAGCGGTCCCAGGTCCAAAGCAATAGGTCATGAGTCTCCTGTCTGCACCGGGCCTACCACAGCAAAGTCTGCTCTCTCGAGCTCTCTGCATGTCCGTGACAAACCTAGAGTGTCATCGTGTTCAGCGCATCTTTCGCAACTGCAGCCGCACGCTATCAACCAATGCCAGCCAGTGGGACAGGCCGCGAGTCTGATGACACGTTCAATGCACGGCCAGGAATAGGACGACTAGAACTAGGAGATGTGCTCTGCTTCCATGTCGGCAGTTGGTTTTCACTCATCATCTGACTTCATAGTTCCACTGACTACTTCTCTAGTTTATGTACAGCGCGACTTCGCAATACTTTGCAGGCAACTTTGTGCCTTCACTCACTCCACCAGCTCGCACCTTGGTGAGCCATCTACATCGTCTTGCGGTCGATCCTTTAAGAACTCTGAGATGCTGGTTGCAGCACTTACCTCTCAGGATGCAGCTCGCTGTCATCACCAGCCACAACTGTCAAAGATGTCTTATTAACTTCTGAAGCCATGACGGTAATCGAAGTACGGCCTGCAAGGCGCAAGCGCTTCTCAGGCGGTTCTGCCTGCAAGAGGAGTAGAGGAGACGCACCAAAGGGGATGAGAAGTCCCTTGAATCATCGCAATCTTGCGACAAGAAACATCTCTAGCATGAATTTGCAAGCAGAGGAGAACTCCGCGGTGGCAGCTCGGGCAAGGCAACTGGGAGCTTGGCTGATCCACCCTCGAAGTGCGCGTTCACGTGAGCGTCTGCCTCGTCCTGGCAAGCTGAAACGACTTCGCTCAGTGAGTGTGTCTTGCAACCTACAGTCAGAAACGTGGTTTGGGGACTCTGGTGCTAAGTCCCTGCCACGACGAAGGAGGCTGGCCTTGTTCAGGAGCTTGGAGCACACGGGGCACTCCACCTGGTTTCTGCTGTCCGGCTCCTGGCGTGGCATCGCCGCCATCGCACACAGCAAAGCCTTGCTCAAAGATCTCAGGCTGATGGATATCTTTCCTGCACCTGCACCTGCTCGGAGCCTTCCAGGTCCACGACCTTTCTTGCGCTAGCTCTTCCTCCACTCTCCACTCTTGCGATTCTGTGGATCCGGCAATGTGCGAGTCTGCAAAGGCTGCAGTGGGGGCTTCTGCCGCCTGATTCACAGAAAGCCAATAGATGAAAGAGGAGCCTCAAGAGACAGATTAGCATGCAGCGAGGCAAGCGAAACTATCATGCAAAGCCACAGGGCGGACTGCCTTCTCCAAGCTGCTCTCTGTCGATCCACGCTTCAACCACCTGTCGGAACATTGCCGTTGGAGGCATTTCTTGGGAAATGGGCCTCGGGTACGTCGACCTCTAGCTTCCGGTCACGATCACAATGTTCAAACACGACCAGAGAGCCTGGTCAAGCTCGAGGTGCCCACAGCAGCCTTCTGAGGGCTGCCTTGACAGTGGCTCGCGAACAGACTGCATGCTCCATCTTCCTTGCCTGCCGACACACGTGTTGATTATTTCATGCCAACTCGCTGACTTTCGACAGTCGGCTTTGGATTGAAGATCGCGTTTCGGAGCACAAGAGGTTACTTGCTTCTGACAAAGGCTGTTCAGACCGATTGGCTGCAAGCAGTGGATGTCTCAATTGCAGGGTGGGGCGGCTACGGGTTAAGACCTTTCCTTTGAATCTGCGCACAACTGAGGCGGCCACGTGAGCTTGAGCTAGCGGTGCCTCTGAGTCAGCACTTTATCATCAAAACCGTGCCTCGAGGTCCCGAGTTCCAAAGCCAAGTATTCTCAGACTCTGACCAAGTTTGACGGCAAGCCCAACTCCACGCAGCCTAACCTTCCGCAGGGCCAAGCTACTTGCTGGGGGGCTTGGTGCAGATGACCGCAGCTTCACGAACACATCTCGTCCGTTCAATGTCAAGAATCGAAGCTGCTTGAGCTCAGGGAAGCCAAGGCGCCGGATCTGGAGACAAGGCGTCAAAGAGCTGTTGTGCAGTCCTCTCGGTGCTTTGCGAGGATCGCGACAGTTGACAGCCCTAAAGCACCAAAGCCCTTTGGCAGCCTGAGGAGCAGGGCAGGCTCCTGGGCTCAAAGGATTGTGCAAACGTGCACCTCTCTTCGCCCTGTTTCCTTGCTGTCCCAGCTACGTTGCTTGCATCAGGAAGGGGCGCAGAGCGACTCACATCGTCGCACTGGCCATGGCCACCTCTCTTGATCGGCTCCACCTGCTCCGAAAACAGCTGCTTAAACCTAAATGCCGCCGCAACTGCCATTGCCAGAGTGAGGAAGGCACCCAACCGGGCACGGCAAGCTTGAGCTTCAAGGTCAGATGAATGGCACCTGGGTCGGACAGTGGGACTTTGCTCCACAGCCCGAGACTGTCAACTGAGCTTCAAACAAGGTTTCAGTCCGGTGTGAGTGGGTCTGGGACGCGGACGCAAATCGCAGGCAAGGAGACGCTCGGAAAGCTGTTGCGAGACCTACCAGTAGCATCGGTGCATGGAGATCCACACGCGGATAGGACGAAGAAGTATAGGCTAGGCACGTGCTAAGCCAAAGAGACATTAGCGAGAGCAAGAGACGCCATCCGTGTTAATCAAGGGCCTCTGACAGGATCTTGACGGCAGCAGCCCGATCTTGGCATCGAATTCCCCAGTTCCTTGTCATTTCGTCTGTAGCTTCTCACAGTTGCTGTTAGTGGCATGCAAAGGGCCAGCATGCTCACAGTGCGGCCGAGGCGCATCTCTGCGCTGACGGACCTAAGAAAGCAGCTCTAGGAGCACCGTTCTGCTGCCATTCGCAAGATCCCGACTTCCTTTGTGCCGGTGCAGAGCTGAGAGCGTTCGCCTGGAAGAGGCTTCCGCAGGAGGAACTCCCGTGAGCGGACTCCGAGAACAGCCCGAGCCTGGTCAAGGCCCTGCGCGTTGAGCCAAAGTGTCTCGCCCTTGGCGCCAAACCTGCTACTAAGGCTTCCGGAAAGACGAGTCACCAGTCCTCTGACCCAAACGCCATCCTTGGCATAAGAGCAAGATTCAGGAGAGTTGCTACTGTGCAGCCAAGTGTCCACTCACGCAGTCGTCCCTGCCTGCGTGTGGCCGAATTCCATTCAAAGCCAGTCGCTTCGGGAATGCTTAAGACTGCCGTGCAAGCCAACTTTCGCAGCACGGCTAAATGCAATCACTTTTTTTGGGATGAGGGCAGGGTCTCGAGTGTTGTGGGTGCTCTTGGATAGGGCTTCGACATAAAAGATTTTTTTGCAAGCGGGCTGGCCTGGCTGGGCTGGGCTGCCGTGGGCTGGGCTGTGGGCTGTGACCGTTCCGAGCCGTTCCGATCCGAAGCGTTCCGAACCGTCCCGAGCCGTTCCTTTCCGAACCGTTCTGAATCGTTCCCAAGCGTTCCGAACCCTTCCGAGCCGTTCCGACCCGTCCCGAACCGTTGCAGACTGTCCCTTGGTCAGGCCAAAAGCAACGGTTCGGGACGGCTCGGAGCAGTTCGGAACGGATCGGGTCTGGAACGGTTCGGGACGGTTCGGAACGGTTCGGCACGGGTCGGGACGGGACGGCTCGGAACGGTTCGGAACCACTCGGAACGGTTCGGAACGGCTCGGGTCAGAACGTCTCGGAACCGCTCGCACAGCTCGGGAGGGCTTGGAGCAGCCTCACAGCAACTCCACCTGACAGTTGAACCATGTTGAACCCCTAGCCCTGAGAATGCTTAAGACTGGATGTGCATCGCATATTCGATTCCAACCCATTAGTGTTATTAGTGGCCGCGGGAGGCTAGCCTCCTTAAAGTTGAGTTACGCATTCCCAGGGCCTCCCCAACTTTAACTTGTTCCAGCACTAAGGCGGTGGCTCCAAAGACTGGATGTCCCTGCACGTTTCCAACCCACGCTCCTGCCACGCAACGATCGCTGCAAGGTCGCCCTGCATCCGTCACAGTACTAGCTAGAGCCAACACAGTGTCTAGAGGACTGGCTGAGTCGTTGCCTTTGACTGCACGTACCAGTGCTGCTCGTTGGACCATTAGGACTTACACTATCCCACATCCAACTTCGCCTGCAGCTTTGCCGACATGGCATGCCCAACCTGTGGCATCAAAACAAATGCCCGCAATTGGAAAGCGATGGATGACAGGGGCAACCACTGTCCAGTCTCTCCACACAGCTTGGCAGGCACAGCAGTGCGATGCAGCACCGCAGCCATTTTTCTTCCCGCGATGTGGCTGCAAGCCGAGGGAAGCTATTCCTGCCCGGGCTGTCTAGCGCCGGGCAGAACCGCGACCATCGTGACACCTCCACGATGTCACCGACGCCCCTTGTGCATGCTGTGACTGGTACTGCGTTGACCAACCGTCCGCTCTTCAGCATGCCAGCGCTCACCGTTAGAAACTTGCTCGGCTTCCATCCTGCTCGAGGTGCCGCTCACAGCTTCTGTTTGATTGTTCTGGACCAAGTCGATCCACTGGAATTACTTGACGAAAGCTGGCACATACAGGTCGTGCGCCTGTCGCGTCAAGCCGCCAAAAGATAGTGTCAAAACCGGAAATAGCTGCACTGGGGCCTCCGCCGCAGTCACATAGGAGGAGTTCGCCTTTCAATGCTTGATGTGGCACCGTACGGCTTCGAAACTGGCTTTCAACATCTGGCCGTTCGGTCTGAGCTGGACTGCCCTCTTCTCAGCTTCTGGCTTCTGCTCGTAGCCCGGATATCCTAGCAGAGACATCACGAAAATCAAGCACAACGTTCACAACACAAACCTCAAAGTCTTGTGAATGCACCAGCGCTCCGGCCTAGAAAGACTCAGCGCGCTGAACAACGGGGCAATCTGGCGCTGCAACAACTCCAGCGTCGAAGTCCTGCAGGCAGCGCTGGCTTTCGGCCACGATGCTCGCCACAGCTGCCAGAGAGAGTTTTTGACGCGGAATGCTTCTCGCTCGGATCAGGCTCGTCCTGTGAGAAACCGCATATTGCACAGCCACACCGCCCGGACGAAGGACGCGATAAAACCTCACGCAGAAGCTTGGGAAGCTTGGACGGTGTATGGCAATGGACAGACTAGTATGCTGAAGACTGTCATCTTATGTCAGTCTGAAAACCGGGATCCTGACTGCAGCGCTTCGAAGACGCACATTGGAAGGCCCCAGGTCTCGAAGCGCTGTTGCTCCCCGATATATCTGACGATCAAGCAGGGAACGCTGAATGCCCATGCAGCGCTGCTAACATGGTTTTTGTTCGGCCTCGGGCTGATGTTCAAAGGGTCATAGAAGAGCAGGTTGTACGACTGTGCTGGAAGCTCTGGCAGAATCTTCTGCCACGGTCCCTCGTGAACATGGAAGGCCTTGACAGGCCCCTGCCAGGGATGCAGGCTGAGGATTTTGAATTTCTAGCCAAATGCAGAGCAACAGAACACTGCGATAGTTGGAACGCTATAAGCATGACGAAATGCCAAGGATGCAGGAGCGAAGCCCTTATACTTCTGCCTAAAGAGTGTACCCAGTCTGTTGGTGGCTTTTGCCTATTGTTGGAAGCATCCTCTGAGAGATGAGCGTCCTGCCTTCTTTCTTGTTTCGGCCTCCCGTCGAGCGTCTGCTGCCACGGCGGGATGCAGCTCCACAACCTCGTACTCGATTTGCAGTTGTGGCAGGCCGCTTCCTCCCAGACAGCGATTTGCAAAGTGGCAGGCTGTCTCGGAAGCTTCCGGTGCGGCAAAGTCCTGCTTTCTCCGCGTTATCCAGAAGCCGACGGCCGCTGATCCCCTGCCAGGGCGTTGCAGTAACCGTAGCCGCGTAGCGACACTTCCTGTAAGTTCTAACTGTTATACTGTATAGTTATACTGTTACATGCTGGACCACTTGGCTTCCGGCCTGGCCCCAGCCAATTTCCAGGATTCGAAGCCGTGAGAGGCCGCCAAGTTGTGCGTGGCGCAAGGCAAGATCAAAGCCCACATCCGCCAAGGCAAACATGTAGGGCCACTCCCAGTCCTCTGACACAAGGACTCGTGCACTGGCTCTGGAGCTCTTTAAAGACATGGTACCAACACCACCCCTGCCTGCATGAGCTGAATCTGGCCAGTTGCCCCGCCTTTAAGATGCAGATGCCTTCCGAAGGATTGCTTCTTCCCGAGGACTCCCGCGTCCGCCTCCTCTATCGCAAGTTGGGTGAAGCTCTTCCACATCTTCTCCTCCCAACTCGAGCATCCTTTTTGAGAGGTACGATAAGCACCACCACACATCACCACACCTCCTGAGGAGAGATCGACATCCTTTGGAGCCGCGCGCCGACCAGCGCAGCCAAGTCCATGAAGCGCGACTTCCGCTTAGTTGCTCGCCCGGGCCGGGTTCCCAGCTGAACCAGGTTGTGCAGATCTCCTGAATCAGGGAGAGCTCCAGTGTGGCTGCCTATCATGCCTATCGCTGTCTATCGTGACCAAGATTCGACCAAGGTATCGACGAGGAAAGCAGTAGAGCAACTCTGGCCGATTCATCGCGTCTACTCGCTTTCCTGAGGCCTCCAATGCAGCCGACCTCGGCTTCAGGATGTGGCGTAGACGTAGACACAGTAAATGGGTCCTGGGCCAAGCAGACTCAGAGTGCAGGTGAGGCGCATGTCGGCAAGACCGGCATGAACCAGCGTCGCTGCATGCTGGCAGTCAGCCAGCTGCACACTTGGTGCCGCTTGATCCGCGTCAGAAGCCAATGCCACGAGTCCTCTGGTGCTAGGGCTAGGATTTATACTGGAGCCGTCGATACCAAGATATACCACGCTTGCAACGACAAGAGGAACCATCGGTCCTTGTCGCACTCGCTGCCAAGCTGAGAGCAGGGCAGCAGCCGTGCTGGCCGACACTTCTTGCAGCGAGCCGACGCCCTTCAAAAACTGAACATGTCCTGGTGAAGATGGCACTCTTTTTGGCTTGACCTGCTAATGCTGATCTGAAAGATTTGAGGCAGGTCCCCTGCGTGGTGCCGCCCAAACAGCGCCGCCTTCTCTCATCCCGCTCGCATTACACACGCTGTCTGATCTGTGAAACTCGACTCGGTATGACTGACTGCTGTGTGCATGCTGTGTGTGGGTGTGTACTGCAACCCAACGTCTTTATCTCCTGGGTCGCCCAATGCGAAATCAAATTTCGAACGTTACTGCTGTGCAACTTGACTTGGTTTGAGCCGTTGCGTGCGATTGCTGAATGCACGCTGTCTTGACCTGGACCTAGCCAGGCTGCATAAGCTGTTGACTTGTGCATGTCCTGACCCAGGAATGCTTAGATGTTGCTCTGAGCTGAACTGCGGCGCACGTTGTTTTAGACTCGGACGCCGAAGTGCTCAACTGGTGCTATCGGCAAACATTATCATTCCGGCTCAACAGCAGGAGCCGCCACTATCCTTGCTCTGTTTGCAAGACTTTGCTTGTGAAGCGAAGAGGCTCTGGGAGTCCCGGGGAAGTCCGAGATCCTTCTTTGGAGCTCCATTCACGGCCGGCCGAGCGCCCTGACAGCGCAACAATGCCAGAACTGGCGCTTCGGCCGCATCAGAAGCACCAAGAACCCGCAAAGCACGGAGTACGACCAGTACGAAACCGAGAAATTCAGGGACCCTAGCTCAGAGCTTTGCCGAGATGCGCCCTCCTCCGATCAGCGAGCTCAGCGGCCCAGGTAGGCTGCAGCGGCCCACGGGCATACTCAGCTCCTCAGGAGGGGTCTTCGAGCTTCTGGCCCTTCAGGTCCAGGGCCTGGGTGCTCTGCAAGTCTCCTGCAATCACGCCCTGGCTGACTCCGGAGCCAGTTCCTCCATACCCCGACCGCGCCAGTTTGAATGGATTCCTGATGTCGCAGCAGAACCATACTGAGCCGACATGAAGACTTCCTGCTGGAGCTGCCCAAGGAATTGCGACAAGCTCTGCTCCAAGAATCGCAGCTTTGTTCTCATGGAGCCGAATCCCTGGCTCGGCAGCTTTCGAGTCCTACAGCGGCAGCCGAAAAAAGCCCAGCACCCCACAACCTGGTGCAAGCGCTTTGCCCATGAAGCTGAGCCGTGCCCGGTGCCTGGGACTCCTGTCCTTGCCCCTGCAAATGTGCAATGAGTGGAGCACCTTGGTGAAGGTGTCGTGAGGATAAGTTGATGAGAGAGTATCGGGCGTGACACTGTGACTCACATCTCCAACACAAGCGAGAAGTCTCATGATCTCAGGTCGGGGCTCTTTGGCATGGCCAGAACCCGAGGTGCTGTCGAGAAGGCCTTTTGTTGCGTGGGCACTGCCGCATTTCGCCTGGAAAGCACGGGAGACATCGTGAGACTACGTGTAGCACATTTTTTTTGCCGCCATGTGCATGAACGAATGCCGTTCCGGGCTCAACTCTCAACTTCCTAAAACTGTCAAGCGCATCTGGCATCCGTTCACCCAGTCGGAAGGATCTCCAACATGCACTACGTCACATGGCCCTCGGACGGAATGACGAGGTGGGACGATTCAGTTTCATCTTGAAGCATTGAGCATAGGCAGCTGGCCTCAGGTCCGGTCCTTGTGAATCCATTGGCTGGGCCGCTGGGCCAAGACAAAACCACCTTTGCAATGTCTTTCGCTTGTCTTGAGCCCCAAGCTCGCGGGATCTCTGTAAGCAGGCTCTGCCAATTGGGACCAACAAAGGCGCATTGGGTTGACTCTCGCCATCCAAGCTCACAGTTCAAGCGCACCTGAGGCATGTCCCGCAGTGGAAGATCGGCAATGAATGGCCTGACCTTTGCACAGTCGCCAGGGTGCACGTGAGCAAGAATGCAAGCACAGACATTGACATGCATGATGTCATGTTTGCCAATCCTTGCTGTCTTTGCTATATCCAGATTCCAGACACGGCCTCCTTCTGCAGTATTCTCCGCTGTCCGTTTGGCTTGCAGGCCTGCATGTCGAGGGGCGCTGTCGATTTCACGGAACGCCATATCAGCCCAAATAGCCACCTTCGTCGCGAGCTTCGCGACGAGTTGGCTTGGCCCGATGCCAACGCTGCAGGTACAGCCTGAAGGCTCAAGGCTATTCAAGGTCCATGGATGCCGGTGCGGGATGTCTCTCCGGCCCGGGCATGTCTGCAAACGAACAGCCTTGCGCAGGGCTTCTGCCCAAGCCAAGGGATCCTGCCAAGCTGGAGCCCTGCATGCCTGGTTTGGTAGTCTCACCCAGATCTTTGGTTCCCCACGAATTTTCTGAGGCTGCAGCCCGCACTCCTTTCACCGACAATGCCTAGATGGGCTCCACAACATCAACATTCTGCCAGGCGCTGCTGCAACCGGGGGCGCCACGGCTTCATCGCAAGATCTCATGAACACATGGTCGGGCTCGTCTTTACAAGCCACTACCTCGAGAGAGTGCACTTCAGCAGAGGATTTGTAACTTTGCACAACAAGCTACCAGCATGCTGTGCGTTCGTGTATCTCTGCTCCGGCTGTGCTTCTGGCAAGCAGCTGGTATACCTGCCAAAGTGCTAAGATCGCTAGTCGAGATTTACCGACATTTTTGCTTCGATGCCCACAACGGTGCCTTCTTCCAGGTCTCTTCTACCTCGGTCGCTATGTGCGTGAAATGGAAGCACAGAACAAAAGTAAGCCACTCAGGCTTGCACGGAGCGAAGTAACTCAGATGATATTGGAACCAGCCTCAACCTTGTCTCGCTTCCAGCAGCTAGCTCCATGCAAGTCTGTCTGGAACTGGGGGAGCCCATGGTAGCCCACTTGCTTCTTATTTGAGCTAGTAGCGATGGCAGAACTGCACGCGCTCGCTCAACGGACCAGAGATGAGTATTCACCTGAACGCGGCAGCCCGCAAAACAAGATTTATGCAAGCAAAAGCCCGAGGAACACACCCCTGCGCGACGAGCGGCATAGTTCCTTCTAATAGTAGGAGATGCAAGGTGCTTCCAGTCGGGGACATGTCGTGCTTGCACAGCAAGAAGCGACCGTGCGCGACTGAGGATCTTGCGCTGAACAAATCTCTGAGCTCGCTCCCAGGCCAGAGACCACGGCTGTGGGAACCTGAAAATCCAGTAAGATTTCCAGCCTACAGCCGTACAGCTCTGCAAGATGCAACTCGAGGGCAAGTGGGCCTCCTCCTCTGCATCTGTCCCGGCCTGCAATGGGCAGAGCGAGAGGGGAGAAAGGTTTAAACGGAGAAGTCGGAGGCCCCTGCCGACTGGGCCATATCACGAGTTGCTACGGAAGCGAAGAAGCAATCCATGTCCTCAAAATCTTTGTCTGCTGCTTGCAAGGTGTTGTCGTCGGCCAACCGATTGGCACCAACACAATCGAGTAATCGACTGCCGTCGACCTTCACACCAGGGCTTCTGCCAAATGAGCCCACACAGGCTCGGCATCATCTTGCTGAAGCATTGCCACCTCCTGAACGGCCGGAATGAAATCTGAAATTGAAATGTGGCACCGCATGCCAATTCCAAATTATGTCCTGCTCACACTTGCTTCTTTCGATTGTGGTGTGCAGCCGCTATAGGATCCCGTGCCGAAAAAGAGACCGGGATGACATTAAGCAAGCTCCCGACTCTAAGCAACTTCAAACAAAAACGACAACAGCGCAGCACTCGTCCTGACGCAGCCGGTCGGCCTGCTCTGGAACGTCTGGCCCTGGCACACGAGAACAAAAACCAAGAAAGCGTGCTGCGTTTTGCGGAGCTGCTTCTCTTGAATGGCTCTCATTACACAACTACTACTTTGGCCTTGACCCTGCAGTGTCTCGTTTTCTAGATGCATCTGCAGGTGTGCATCCTACTGTACTTGACACCAGGTTTTTGCCTCTCCAAATGGCTACCTCTCGGTGCACTTTCACCTGCCAGAAATACACATCGGCCAGCTGCATACGCAAGGGCTGCCCAAGGGCTGCAAGAGCAATGTAACTACACGACTACATCCGGATATCGGATATTCCAGGACGGGATGCATCTGCTGGCTATTTCCCATGACATGCTGCAGAGCCCGCGGCAGGCCGACAGCCTCCGCCTCCGCCGGCGCCGGCGGCGCGCCAGCGCTCGAAGCGCTCCCGCCAGGTTCCCAGGAAGTGCAAACCTCGGCTCTGCTGGGCGGCCCTGGGCGATTTTTGGGCCTCTCAAAATCTCTCAATGCCTTCGGTCTTAGGAGTTGACGGCTCGCGCGATGAAACTCGGCAACGTTGACCGGAAGCACATCCTGGCCCTGGCGGCTCTGCCAGGCTAGCGGCTCGGCTTCAGATGGCAAAATCGCACATTTAAGGCATCCTTCACTTGTGTGGTCTCGGGCGGCGCTTCTGTCACGGGCTCCTTGCTGCCAAAGTCGAAGCCTGTTCATAGGAACTAAGAGAATGCTTGACACGAGGCGTGGAGGAAGGCCTTCGTTTTCAGACTCTGACTCTGTAGGCGGCGGCGACTTCTCCTG